TGATATAGAATCATTAATTACGTATACAAACCTTAAAAAAAACGTATCATTTCCTTATTTCGATTTCTTATAGGGCAGAAGTAAAGTTTAAAAGAGAAGGGATGAATCTGTTAGCACTTTTCCAAGCTTTAAACCAGTTTGCTCTTTTACATAATTTCCTATCCAATCTATAGTTCTTTCAAGCCTTTTGAGCTGAGAATTACATTTATCCACTATTATTATTAATGCTATAATTTCTCCAATAAAAATACTGGATTTTTTATCAATTGCTAGAGACGTTCTTGTATGATGATCAAGTTATGCTAACTTTATTAGCTTTTTTATTATATCTTTCTCATACTTACTATATGTGCTATTAGATAATTGCTCTTGTTTGGTTTTCATTATAGAGAAGTATTCAGTAACCAAATATTTATTATACAAGAAAAAAATATAATAATAACTATATCATTAGTTTAACCATAGCAATTCCTTAGCCTTATTAATTTTAGTTGTATTCAAAACAAATGAGTTTACTATATGGAATGTACATTCATTTTGATACTTCTTTGAGAGCTTGACTATTATAGCTCTTTTTTCGGCCTCTTTTTCAGCCAGGCTAAACTTAACTATATTCTTATAAGCTTGAATATGCCAATGACTATATGGTAAAGTAATAATACCATCTATCAAGATCCAACGCTTAGTATCTATTGAATATAGTGCTTTTTTTCTGACTCAACCAATAATAATACATGGTCTGTTGATCGAATACCTACATTCTTAGCATAAAATACTTCTTTACCAAAGAGACAATCTTGATATATTAAGGTCATAGGATCTGCCTTAGTATACATTACTAAATCCTTAGCATCTTGATCTATTAGTAATGATTTATCTATTGGATCATCTAAAAAAGAATAGCATATATGTATTTATCCTTCTTACTAACTCCTTTATTGTAGACTTAACTGCTAAGACATAATGATAAGCTTTGCTTTGAATATGCATGGATAATGAAATTGCATTACTAGGAATCTCATTCTTATACTTACTAATAGTTTGATTCCCATTAAGTTTAACAAGGTCAGGTTGTTCAGCCATATCCTTATAGATATCCTCTATCTCAGTTTTGATAATATAAGAGTCTGTATCTATATAACCAAGCTAAGTTTTATCACCATATTTTTCTTTCACATATCTATATCAGAAATCATACATGTGAAGTTTACTTAGTCCCAAAACAGATACTCTAACTATAATAGGTTTATTGTCTGAAGCGTAGCGAAGGACTATATAATTCCATGCTGTTTGACTCAAAATATCCGGATATCCATTCGCTTGTTATTTGAGTTGATCAGCATGATTGGTGTAAACAACAAATAAAGGAAGGAACCACGATACTTTTACTATTTTTGTAATTAGTGTAAAACTTTATTATTATTAAATTATATAAAAAGGTTCCGGACTTATAATGGTTCCTGTTTCCTAGTTTAAAGTTATATTAGCCTTTCCTATATGTGTTCTTATTAGCGTATCTCCAAGCAGTCTTCCATATTTAAAAGATGGTTTGCAAATCTTATTTTTGAAAGCTTTTTCATCCTGCTTATTATTCATCTTTATAAGCAAACATTCTCCATAGTCTTACTATATGATGCATTATTCTTGAGCTTAAAGAAGTCACTCAGAAATGAATTTTCAGCTTTTTTTAGCTTTCTAACATTCTCAGTATTAAATGCCATGTATAAGATGAACCAGTCAGTTTGGTCAAATGATAGAATTTCTGAAACTTCATCTACAATCATGCCTAATTTCACATAGTATTGAAGTTTTTGATAATGAATAATATAATCCTTTCATGGACCAAGATATGGAACTAATTTTTTTGTTGCAGAGAAGTACCTACCATCCAAATTCTTTACAAGTTCAGCATTATATAGTCAAAGCATATTTTTTCCTACAGTAATATTCTCTACGGCTAGAGATAAGTTATTCAAATAATCATGGATCTTTAAAGAAAAATAAGTCTTAATATTTAAGAAACACCCTCACTTAGCATCTGCTTTAGTCATAAGAATCCTTTCAAAATATTTCTTTTGCTTAGCTAGACTTTTAATTAAATATTCACAACTAGCTTCCCATTGATAATTTCCAATAGGTAAATATTGGCTTAATGCTCAACCATAAAGATTTGTTATATCTATATATGTAATCTATATTGTAGGTTTAGATGGATTATAGTCTTCACCCATTTTAGAATTATTTGCTTTGAAATATTTTTGACAGGCTATAGCTATTCCACCACATTTGGTTTTTTTGATAAAATCATGTATAGCCATATCTGTAAGAAGTTTGATCTTAACTCTAGTCATTTTAAGTATAGAATCCCAAGATAAAGCTGAAAGAAAAACGTAATGTCTAGGATCATGCTCATTATTTTCTATAGACATTTTTTTGAAATTCTATCCAGTTTTAAGATAGAGATCATGATATTCACCTAGATTTTGACTAAAATGTCCATAAAATTCGTGAATAGATAAAAGCTTTGTCTCTTTAAACCTATCATGTGAATTGATGTATTCATAAGGATAAACACCTTTGCATATACTAGTGAGATTTGTTCAGAAGAAAAGTTTTTGAAATGCTAATTTGTTGAAAGATGGTTATCATCCAAGTTCTTTGTAAGATTGGTTAGACTAGTATTCATAAACTGCATGCTATTAATATACTTAAGCTGACCTACCTTCATGGACTTATAATGCTCAAAAGTTTCAGCTATGACTTTGATCTGATGTGCATTAATAGATTGTCCAACATATTCACAGACTAGATGAGAATCATAACCCTAGAAGTTATGAAAGACTACTGGAATAAGGGTTTTCCATGGTTTAATTTGAAGCTTAAGATTACAGGTATTGTAAGATGCTTCTCGAAACTTACCTGTAATATGACAGTGATCCCAAACCTTATCATTTCTAGTTTCTAAGACTTTGATTTCTTTTACTATTTTAAGTAATGTATTAACTAAAAATTTATGTTTATCTGCATCCATAGCCCATTTTTTATCTTTCCATTAATAAAATCTTTCTTTCTATCTAAACAAATAACTTCTTCTTTATCAATAGCAAATTTTCCTTTGCAAATCCAACAGCTATCTGCCTCAGCGAATTTTATTTTGTCTTCTTTGCTTTCAATTTGCTTAGCCTTAATAGCTAGGACTTTATTGATATTGATTAGTTCCTGATCAATCCTTCAGACAAATTCTTGTGTAGTATTCTCTCCTCAATATAAGAAAGGATTTCATACATCTCTAGTATCGATCTAGTGAACTAAATAGCAGAAACTGTTTGCCTTCTGCTCAATAAGCTTATCCATACTTCCATCATATATCTCATTACATTTCTTATTATTAGCCTTAAAGTCTGCTATAATAATACATAGGGCATTAATCATTTGTTCATAATTCTTAAACTGCTTGAAATCATTAACTCCTGTCACAGGCATTTCAACTCTTTAGCAATCTTTGCCCAATCCAAAGCAGTGATCTTAATGATGATCTCTAAATTTTTTGGATAGAAAACTAAATGTATATTGATTGTAAAGAAATCTTTTGCTATGATGTGCTGTATCTTTGAATATTAATCCATCATAATATTTTATCCATAGAAAATAATTCTTTTGCTCATACTCATTTTGCTAATATCTATAAGAGCTATTAAATGAATAATATGTGGTCTATCATAGTTTTTGCTATAAACTACAGACTTAAATATACCTGATTCATCTTTTTACTCTCAGACATTTATGGAGATATCTAGATTCATCTTCTCAATCTTCTTAAATATACGCAGATAAATAGGAGTAGATATAGAAATACAATTATTAACGTGTAATTCTTGTGAACTACAACTATTAGACGAGGTGTCAGAGTGTTATTTCTTTTTAATGTACGTAGTAATCTTAAGGCTTTTATAAGTTTATTATCACAGTTAATTCAAGTAAAGGTTTCAAGTCAAATTTATATGAGTGTTTTATGATCAACAATTTACGAAGTATCGAGTAATTATATTTTCAAGTAAGATGTTTATTAATAAGATAAGAAATAAAAGTAAAGAAAATAAAAGATATGACAAGAGAAAAGAAAAGAAAAGAAAATAAAGAAACGAAGTATGAAACTAAAAATGTAACACAATAGGC